AAAACACCCAAAAAAATTTTAAAAAGTGGGGGGGGGGGGGGGGAAGAATAATCGAAGGCCAGAAAAATGAAAATTAGAGTGAAATCAAGGAAGAAAAATGAAAAATAACCGATCATGATTTTTCCCTTACCAATTTCAATCTCTATCAACTCCAAAGGAAAGCTCGGAAAATAACGCAATGGATACCCTAGCGGAGAAGGCGATTCTCAGATTCTGCTCCCACTACGCAAATGAAATTCTCGAATTGTAGAATTCAAAATAAAACCAAGAAAATGCATTAAAAATACGCAATTGAATCCAAACAAAATCTATTACTTTCAACGAAAGAAACGATAAATTTCAATAAAAGAAAAACTTACAGCACGAATCCTACGCAAGAGAAATGGAGGAGGAGAGAGAAGCTAGCTTCTCGTGTGTGAAGGATGAAATGGAGGATTCTGGGGCTTGATAATGGCGGAATACGCGGGAAAGTTCTCTTTCTCTCTCTGCGGATGAAGGAAAGTTCGGAACTTCGGAGAGTCGGAAAGCCGGAAAATTGTTTCGATTCGAATTAGTGATGGCGGTAAAAGAAGTATGGGCTTCACATAGACCACTTTATAGCCAAGCCCAATGATTTCCCGGTTGGCGGATTTCGACCCTGTTTAACTATGGAGTTACATCTAGAGGTGTAAGTTTAGGCTCGGTGGTCCAAAAGAAAATTTCGGGCCGACCCGGTCTTAAAAGAGATAGGGTCGGTCTTGTCAGATCTTAAATTTAAAAAGTTTAAGATCTACTCGGTTCAGTCTAAAATTTATAAGGTATTTTAAAAAAAAAACCTTTTAAAATGTGATGTTGTCCGGCTCTAAAAGAGAGAGGATTGGCCTAGCCCGTTCTAATCTAAAAGATTTAGGGTCGGGTCTGGGCCAACAGTAACAGGTCTCAGGCCGACCCGTTTATCATGACTCAAACTTACAGCTCTAATTACATCAGAGTTATTGAATTTTTTTCTCTTTTTATAATTAGTATTGAAAATTGTTCTATCTTAAATATTAATCTTGAATTTAAGTATCTCAAATTTAATCTCTCGATTATATTTCATTAAATTTTTTATGGAAAAGGTTGGGTAATCTTGTTATTTCACCTCAATGAATGAGTACTCTAGTAATTTTAACATAAATGAACAAACTTGAACAAGAGTTAGTCTTTATTATTAGGGTGCGTTTGGAACTCGTTCTAAAATAATTTTGTTTTGTGTATGAAAATGGATATGCAAATTTCAATCTCAGGTAGGAATCATTTCTGAAAATGTATTTGGTAGTTTTATTCAGAGATTGCTTTCAGTATAAGAAAAAACTGAAGATGCGTTTGGTTTTACATTTTTAAAAACATGTAATAGTATTTGAAATAATATACTAAATAATTAATAAATCCCCAATCAATACACTAATAATTAATATAATATATACATATATACTATATGTAAATATGTTATACTTACTACTTTTCAGTTGTCTTGGCATACGTAAATAGTAAACAATAAACAATTAGGATACCAATTACCATACACACATATTGTTAGTTAATTTATATATAAGAACATCTGCAAATCAGTTTTTTTTTTTTAAATTACATTACAAATAAATACTAAATAATTAAAAATAAGATTACTTAGTGAATGATTAGTAAAAAAAAAAAGTTTACTAAGTGAAGGATTGAGACCGGAGAAAATGAAAATGGAAAAAGGAAAACGATTACAAATCGTGTTCAGATTGTCAACATTTTTTAGAGAAAGAAGAAAACGTTTTCATTTTTGTTTTTTGTATGATGCGGTGTCAAACGCCATTCTCGGAGCATTTTTATTTTTTGGTCCTCAAAAAACGTGAAAAACGTATTTGAAATGGATTCCAAAGAGGCACTTAATTTCATTCTTTTTTTTTTTTTCCTTTTGTTTTAGATTCACCTTTTATTTTATAAATTGCCTTGTTTTCGGTTCGAAGTTTTGTGGTTTTTAAAGTATTCTTTACTTATATGTCTAATTAGTAATATACACGTCTAATATAAATTATGAATCTACTAATCCGGCTACAAGACACTATTGTTCTAAAAAGAAAAAAAAAGGAAAACTATAATCATATATTCAAAATATATTCTTTTGTTTTTTAAACTACAAAAATTGTAATTAAATTTTTATCTTTGAGATTTACTAATATATCTATTGAATTCAATACATAGTATAACTAATCAATTTAGTATTTTATGTGACATTGTGGGTTTTATGTAAAATCACAACTAATATATGTTATTATCTTTTTCTATCACCACCGGATCATCATACTCCTATTTGTATTCTTTTTACTACTAGTTTAAACTGTTGGATCTTTAATCCAACGTTGGGCTTATATGTGAATAATTATATGTTATAGACTGTCATATGAGATTAAGTCTATTTAAAGTGGTCTACTAAGGTTTGGTTAATTTGGGCATTAATGTATCCAATAGGGTGTCGGCCTATAATGTGTAGAGACTTAAAAGGTAATCTCTATTTTTATGGATTCAGGTATGCTTCCAGTTATAGATTTATTAATTCTTGATGATCTAACATGAATGTTCTTGGCTTTTGGATGATGGTTTTCACCAAATCATTCATTTCTAAAAAGTGGTATCAGAGCCTCTTCATGTTGAACCATTGAGAATAAATTTTGGATGAATTTTTGATTGATGTATTCATATTTTTTTTATTTTCGGTTTAAAAAAATATGAAAAAAGGTAAAAGAAGGTTTTGACTGGCAACAACTTTCTGCCACCGGCACAGTCAAAACCGAACGCGACCGTGAGACTGCGCCGACAAGGGGTAGCCGCGGCAACCAGGCCGCGGTGGCATAAGAAGAGTGGCAGCCTTTGGCCGCCACCATAGAAGAAAAAAAAACATAATTGTGGCCGGCGGTTGCCTCTGCTGCTGCTGCTGCTGGCACTATGAAAAACCAACGCGGCCTTAGGCCGCGCCGGCAACGAAGAGCTGTGGCAGAATGGACAGGCGGCCGCCTGTCAGGGACCGCAAGCTTCAAGGTCGCAATAGTTTGTTGCGACCCCTTACAACTGTAGACTCTGGGCTACTATCAGCAAAGCACTGGCCTAAACGTGCTCGTAGCTGAAGAAAGGAGCTGCGTGCTTTAACCCGCAACTATATGAAATTTTTATTTAGGCCTTCGGGCCATAAAGGAACCACGGGCCCAATTGGTTCCGTGGCTTAAGATAAGCTAGCCCGCAGCCATGCATTAAAAAAAAGATAGAGTTGGCGGTTGGGTTGGAATGAGGATCTAGGTCAGGTCAATCCGATCCGGTCCAGCCCTAACCTAGCTGACTGTTGACCGTATGGTTGACTTTGACTTTGACCATTTTTTTGGGTCAATTTTAGTGCAATATAAATTTGAATATAGGTATATTTATATATATATTGAGATGAATTAATTGAAATAACATGTAACCAAAGGGTCCTTTCTTGTGGAAATTAATTTATTTTTAGAATATAAGCGGTTGTGTGCATGTTACTTATGTGAATATTGATCGGCCCAAAGGAATGTTGAGATTTAACAAAATTGCATGATCACATGAAGTAATAAACGCGTGATGATTATTCAGTTTTATATGTGAACAATACATCCGCCTAAAGGAAGATTTATTGTTCGACATGTTCTTATTATTAGTGTTTGATTACTACACCAAGATATCACTTACAAGTTACTATTTTTGTCCAAAGACAAAATATTAATGGAGTGCCAGGTATCTTGAGATGAGATTTACCTTTATTTCAATTTTATTGCTATTTTTATTTTGAGGCTTATGTGAGCTCGTTTTGTTTTTTTGTTGTTCTCTGGATTTAGCTACAACCACTCCTGCTAATATTACTACCAACAACAACTTAATTCCTATGCTAAATGGCACTAACTTGAAGTCATGGCAAGAGAACCTTCTGATGGTTCTCGGAGTCTTGAATCTCGACCTAGCGTTAAGGGTTGATTCTCTTGCACCTCTTACAGATAAGAGTACCTCTGATGAAAAGAGGGATAAGCAAAGGTGGGAGAAATTAAATCGCATGTGTATGATGATCATGAAGAAGGCCATTCCGGAAGCATTCAGGGGCACAATGTCTGAAAAGATAATTACGGCTAAGGAGTTCCTTGCAGACATTGAAAAAAAGGTTTGTCAAGAACGAAAAGGTTGAAATAGGTACGCTCTTGACAGGCCTAATTTCAATGAGGTATAAGGGCAAAGGCAATATTAGTGAGTACATCATGGAGATTTCTCATCTTGCTTCAAAGTTAAAAGCACTTTAGCTAGAACTTTCTAGGGATTTGCTAGTGCATCTAGTTCTAATATCTCTTCCGCCACAGTTTAGCCAGTTTAATTGAGCTACAACTGTCAAAAAGAGACTTAGTCTCTGAATGAGTTCATCTCACACTATGTTCATGAAGAGGAAAGGCTGAAGCAAGATAAGACAGAGAGTCCTCACCTGGCCTCAACCTCTAAGGACAAGGACAAGGGAAACAAGAGGAAGAAGGATAAGGAAGTTACATATACGACACCTCAAAAGAAACAACAAAAGAAATCCGGTGAATCGGAAGGCATGGGCTGTTACTTCTATGTAGCTGAAGGGCATAAGAACAAGCATTGCACGCTTCTTAATTTAGTTTGTTATGAGGTTAATTTAACTTCGGTACCTAGACACACGTGGTGGACAGATTTTGGTGTAATAACTCACATCAGTGTGTCTATGCGGGGTTGCTTGAGTTGCCGAAAGCTAAGTGATGGTGAAAGATACATCTATGTGGGTGATGGCAAGACATTTCAAGTTGAGGCAATAGTGAAATTTAAATTATTATTAAAGACTAAATTTTATTTGGATCTTGATGAGACATTTATTGTACTGTCTTTTAGACGGAATTTGATTTCTATTTCTGCTTTGGACAAATCTGGTTACTCTTGTTCATTTGTGAGTGGAAAATTTAGTTTGTTTCATGATTCAAAATTGGTTGGTTCCGGTTCTTTGTCAGGTTATAATAATCTTTTTTTCATTGATACAATTGCCTCATTTATTGAATCTCTGCAATTAAGTACATGAGGTATAAAGAGAAAATTAACTAATGAAAATTTGACTATATTATGGCACAAGATATTAGGTTATATCTCCAGACGAAGAATAGAGAAACTTGTGTCAAATGAAATTCTAGACCCCTTAGATTTTACAGATTTTGATGTTTGTGTTAACTGTATAAAGGGAAAACAAACCAATAAAATGAGATTTTAAGCCAACAGGACTTTGGACGTCTTAGAACTTATACATATGGATATTTGTGGGTCAATCTCTACGGTTGCTTGGAATGGTCAACAATATTTTATAACATTCATAGATGACTTTTCTAGATATGGCTATATATCTCATTCATGAAAAGTCTCAGTCGTTGGATGTATTCAAAAATTATAAGACTGAAGTTGAGAACCAACTCAGCAGAAGGATCAAAACTGTCAAATCTGAGCTGTCCCGGGGCTGTACCGGGGCTGCCCTGGGGCTGTCCCGTGGCCGTCCCAGCCCAGGGGCTGTCCTGGGGCTGTACCGGAGCTGACCCGA